GTTTTTCTCCGGTACCGGGAACCGAACTCACGACCTTGCGCTTGCCAGGCAGGCGCTTTTGCCGCTGAGCTAAATCCCCAGCCCCCTTCTGCCCTTATTTCTGTGAAGAGGTTTTTAACGGCTTTTGTGCTGTCTCCAGCTTTTTCACTGACTCCTGTCAATCTTATGTTGTTCTTCTCTGCATCATCTTGTAGCTGTTGGCTGGCCTTTTCATAGTCTCTTGTTATTTTTAAGATATCTTTCTTTTTGTGGTCACTAATTGTAATCCTGTCTTTGAGGTCTGGTCTTTGCCTTCATTAAATCTGTTGCGTACATTTTCAGTAGAATTTTTAATCTCCTGGATTTCTGTTTGGATCTGCTTCATTGATTCCCTTTCTCTTCTATGTTGAGCATTTGTGGTTTTCATAGTTTTTCTAAGCTCTTCAATTTTTTATCTGTTTCTGCTTTAATATCTTTCCTTTTGACCATCATTTCTTTTTGTACCTTAGAGATTATTTTTTCTCTAGCCTTTTCTGTTTGTTTTGTAACTTCTGCTGCTATCATTTCAGAGAGTTCCAGTGGTTGGCTTTCAATTTCCTCTATCTCTTTGTCCAATGTGGGCTGGGAGTTTGGTGATGCATTTTGCTTCTTCATCTTGTCATTTTTTGTTTTCTATTTTTTGTTTTGTTTTCTATGTTAATGCTTAAGGAAAAAAAATGCTTATGGATTTCTTATGTTATATATGCTTTTTCCTTGATGTTGAGGTTTCCCCTAGGAGATGTCTGTTCCTTAGGATGTCTTCTAGATGTAGGTGGTTCTTGGTCTTTATGTCTACCCCAAGAACCTACCTTCCCAATATATTAAGAATGTGAAGTTGGCTCAAGACCTAGTCCTTTGCTACTGGACTACGGTGATAATTATGACCCCTTAGAATTGCAGTGCTGTCATACAGGGGAGAAAAATTGATTATAACAGGTATGACATCCCAGTTGAAGTAGTACAGTTAGCAATCCAATAGACTCAAGCACAGCCTGGCTGCTGAGAAACTATGGTAACTATTAACCTTATACCTTTAACCATAGGAGCAATTTCTACGGTTATATGAAATAATCCAATATGTACCAGGAGTGTGCAAGCAACGATTTTCCACTTATTAGAATGATTTTATCCTGTTGTGGGGAGGAATTAAGAGAGATAGGGGGTAAGATGGAGAGATAAATGAGGTTAAATATATTAGGAGCTAGGCGAGAGAGCAAAGGATGATCATCCAAATTTTGGGTAATTGTAAGACACAAGAGGTACGTGTGGGAAGAGAAAACCTAGAAGTATTGTTGTGGATTTTAAGGAGAAGAGACAGTGTTTACTTGCATGAAAGTAGCATAAAATCAAGTGCAGTAGTTGATGAGAGGGAAGAAGAGAATGAATAGAAGCAAACCAAAAGAAAAGTTAGAGATCTAAGTCATGAAAGAAAAAGATGAAAAAGAAGAAAAAGAAAAAACAGAAAACAAAAATAATCACACACTGAAAAAATGAACAAACAAACATATAGAAAGAAAAGCAAAGCAGGACAAAATAGAACTGGGAGAAACAAAACAAAACCCAAAAAACAAAAACAAACAAAAGTAACCAACCCAGCCTGATACAAAGAGGAAACCCAGATGGAGAAACGTATAAGTAGCAAAATTCCTCTAGTGTCTGCAGTTCTGTGGTAGATCCAAGTCAGACCCAGAAATGTGTACTCTAGCCAAGTTTGCAGGTGGATTTGTGCTTGGTATGAGTCTGATCTTGGAATTGGATTTGGAGGATGGGCTTAGTCTTCTGTGGCTGGAGTTCTCTCCAGCCCTTTAGGGAAGGAAAAAAAAGGCGGCCCTACCCATCTGCTTCTATTCCACATGTCTTCATGCCCAAGCACTATGCTGGCTTACCTAAGTCACCAACTGTTGGCTCATATTATTACTGCTGCTTCAGACTCTTCCAAGCTGCTCTTCCCACTTCCCCATCTTGTGTGCTCCAGCCAGGGCCCTACTGTGTCACTGGTGATCTCTCTGGCCTATCCAGACTCTCTGGATGGAGCTCATGCAATATATATTATACAGTAACTTTTTAATTTAAACTACCTTGGACCTCTTTTTACATCAATTTTTATAGATCTGCTTCTTTCCATAGTGTGATTTATTTAGTCATACCCTTTTTTATCACATTGTCATTTTCATTGCTATAAGTGGTACCACAATAAACATTTTTGTACATGTGTCTTCACCCATTTGTGCTTTTCTATATCTATGATATAGAAATTAGAAAATGTATAGCTATCACTTCTCTGCATTTTGGCTAAGCTCAAATGTAGAAAAGGTCTAACTAAGGGAAATTTATCTGAGGAGTGCAAAGTTGGCTTAACACCCAATGCCCAATTAAAATAATAGACCATATTAATCAAATCTGGAGAAGAAGATGATTAAATGAAAAAACTTACTAGATAGGATCAACAGCAGATTCAAGTTGGCAGAAGAACCAATGAACTTGAAGATCATTCAGTAAACATTGTTTCATCTAAAGGAAAAAGGCAAAAGAAAAAAAATTAAACAGAACCTCAGAGACCCAAGGGATACCATCAAGCACACTGACATGTAAGTAATGGAAGTCTCAGAAGAGGAGAGAGGAAAAGGGACAGAAAAAGACCTGACTATATAATGGTTAGAAAGTTTTCAAATTTGATTAGAACAATTAATTATGACATATATATTGCATAATAAATTTCATGGAGATAACCTCCAGGAGACTTACACCTAAATACATCATAATCAAAATGTTGAAAGATAAAGCAAAGAAAGAAATCTTGAGTGCTGTGGGGGAAAAAAGCACTCAGCATATTCAGGGGAACTATAAAAAGATTAAAGTTTACACCAGAAACACAAGAGACTAAAAGTGGTAGAATAATATATTCAAATTAAACTCAATTGACATTAATAATAAATACTGAGCTATAAATAAATGAAAGAAAGAAAATAGAGAAAGTCAATGTAAAGAAGTTTGGGGGCATTTTTGTAAATCTCAATGGAAGGGCCAAACTGTTAGTTACACTGACCAAGGGAAAAAGAGAGAGAAAACAGAAAAAGGAAAGAGAGAGAGATCATCAAAATCAGATTGAAAGAAGAGACTACTAAAATTAATAAGGTTGTAAGGAAATGCAAGGAATGAGTTAGACAACTTGAATGCAAGAAATAAGTTAATGAACCTGAATCAAGGAGTAGAAAAATGTGAATAAATCTATAACAAAAAGCTGAAATATCAAACTATTTCTTGACATAAAGTCTGGTCTCCTTATTTACAAGTTGATCAAATCAGATATCTTTAGTCTTTAAAAATTGTCTCACATAGTAAACCTTATTTACAAGTTGATCAAATCAGATATCTTTAGTCTTTAAAAAAAAGGCTTCATTAGAGAATTCTATAAAATATTTAAATGATACTAATATTCCACAAGGAATATAATTCTTAAATAGAGTGAGAAGGAACACTTCTCAACTTATTTTATGAAGTTAGTATTATCTTGATCCCCAAACTAAACAAAACAATCATAAGAAAAGAAAACCATGAGCTAATACCACCTCTTGAATCTAAATATAAAGCTTGTCAACAAAATATTGGCTAATCAGCAATATGTAAAAAATGTAAAACCAAAGGAAATTTGTCTAAGGAATGCAAGGTTGGCTTAACACACAAACCCCATTTCTAATAATAGATCATATTAATAAAATAGAAGGGGTAACTTACATTATCTAAATTGATGCAGACAAAAAACTTTTACAATCCCTAGCACTCATTCATGCTAAAAACTATCAGTAAAAGTAGAATAGAAAGGAAATATGTCTTCTTCATAAAGTTCATCTATAAAAAAACCTGATACTATAAACAATTGAGATGTGTTATGTACATGTAACAACTTACCACAAAGAATGTAATCATGTACTATAAGCACATATTAATAAAAAATAAAAGCTGAAAGCCCTAATACTATCATATATATCATCAATAACCTAGAAAATATCATATATAATGTAATAGGCACATAATGGAAGAAGAACAAACTGGTCAACACATGGATATGTGTAGAGAGGCTGAAATAATAACTATGACATATAGATGAGGTTCAGCAGGCAGTTAAAATTTGGAAGTGGAGCTTGTGGGAACATAGTTTTACACTGTCAAGGAAAACTGAAATGATAGAAGCACAGGTTACCCAGGAAAAACTATCAGGCAAAAGAAAAAGAATTGTGGGTGAAATAACAGAGTCACCTTTTTTGAAGAAGAAGAAATCACCAAACAAAATTTATAAGTAACTACGTATCAGTCATTCTGTGCCTCATAGAAATTACTGTACCAAATGGGAATTGCTTTAAATCCTTAATGTAAAAGGAGAGTTTCTTTAAAAAAAATTACCCCCCTTTAAGGTATTCCCCCTCCTTTTTCTTTCAGGTTATCAAATGATTTGAATGAAGTATAGGAAGGAGAGATAAAAGTTCAAGTTCAATGCCAAGGGAGTAGACATTTGTAACCAATTCCCGTCTAAGAAACCCTTTCCCATTCCTTTATCAGAACAGAATCCAGGATCATTGGCCCCTTTCTCCACCAATGATACTGTCTTATTTTCCAGGAACTTGGCAGAAGTCCTCTTAAGTGCGCAGCACCTGCAGTTCTTCAGGGAGTTCCTTAAACAACGGAAAGCTGAAAACCCATTGCAATTCCTGATTGCGGTACAGAAGATCAGTCTGGAGACCAATGAGAAGATATACAAGTCTTCTTTGGAAAATATACTCAAGACTTACTTCCGTAGCAAACAGCCTCCTGGTATAATCCTTTCCTCCTGGCCCTGTTTCCTTCTCCCTGTAATGTCTAGGGAGGTATCTGTGAAGTAGTCTTTCTCAAATGAGCCCCCAGAGAGAGCAGAAGAGAATAGTGGTCACATGGGGGCAATATTCAGACCAAGAGTAAGAGGGATATTGAAAACAGAAAACAATAATAAATTCAAAGGCACACTACTAAGCAGTCAAATGCAAGACATTTTCACTTCTATCCTCTCATTTAATTTTATTTATCCTGAGAAAAAGAATTTTCAAGATTCTATCCTGAAAGGTAGGAATAATTGGTGAAACACAGTGAAGTCAACTACTTTTTCTAATTAGTGGAACTTGAATTCAAATATGAGGTTTTGCATCATTAAATCAAGAGCCGGTACAAAGGCAAGAGCTAGCTGTTTGCAAAGCTAGAGTGTCCGCCCTCTGTGGACTGTGAAGAGATTTGTACTGGGAAGGAGAACTGTCTGCCTGAAAATGCTTCACAAATTTTGTCTTATTTTGTCTTATTTTCTTGCCTAAGGTAGAAAGGGAAATCGGGCCCATGTACATCTAGCTTGGCCAAAAGCAGAGGTTACAAATAAAGTATTAACTTGTAATTCAAACAAAGAGTGAGCATAATCCTGTACTGGAGGTAAACCAGTCTGTAGCAAAGCAGTGTAGATAGATCTTCCTTGTTTGTCATGGTTGAATGGAGTTTTTGTGTGGTTTTGCTTGCAGTTAACCAAGATAAGGGCATAAATATTAAACTAAAAAACATAAAATTGTCCAGTCTATTTGTAAGAAATATTTATGTGTTAAGTTGCATGATGTTGAGTTCTGTAAATTATTTTGAAGGAGTTAGAGGAGAAGTGAGGTGCCCCGAGCCTGTCTTTGACGCTGCCCTTATGACTACTGATACCCTTGGATTCCCCAGCTGTCCCAGTAATTTCACTTTAGTCCTTTTCCTCTTATGCTCTTTTCCTAAACCAAAAACTTCAAACCAGCTGCAGAAATGAGTCCTTGACAAGTTTATTTTTTTTAAGCACTCATCTTCCAAATATGAATGGAATTAAACCAGTAGCGTATCTTCTGTATAAATACCCTTACACATAACATTCCAAATATGCTTTGAAGATTTTCAAGCAAAGTGTGGACATCTCAGTCAAGACAGATTGCGAAGGCAGAGCTGTGAGAGACTCTAAGATGAAAACAATACCAGCGACCTCAGAAATGGTAGAGGGTGACGGGGGCCTTCTCACTCTCTCCTGTATGTTTTCAGAAGAAATGCTGCAGTGCAACGCCCCTCTTATCAGAGAAGTTGTTCACATGCACTACATTGGCACAACCACACTGCTGATGCTCCAGAGCTACGTCATGAAGTCTCTGGAAGAAAAATGGTGAGTGTGCCCTGTGAAGGCAAGGATATTTTCTGGATTTTCTCACTGGCTTTTGAAAGCCACCTGAATCAAAGGTCTCATAATTCATTCTCATTGCCAGAGACCCCCTACAAAGGATAAGATCAAACTCATATTAAATCTTCCTGCTGCTCATGTCTCTCTCTCTCTCCTCTCTCTCTCTCTCTCTCTCTCTCTCTCTCTCTCTCACACACACACACACACACACACACGCACACACATTCTGCTTCCTTGCTTTAAGGTCTTAACAAGATACCACCCAGTAGTGAATAGAAAAGATCATTAACAAAGCATTGAAAGAGTATTTTTAAGTATTTTACCATCCTCCAATTTCTACCGCAACGTCCTCCAAAAACTGAGCTAAATTTCCCTTCTATGTGCCATGTTTTTGCCTTTTTTAAAGATATTTTTGGTCTCCCTTCTGGCAGGTTTAAAGAATATCAGGACCTGTTCCCACAGCATCCTCCAGAAGGCGAAACAGAAGTGCAGACTTCACAAAGGAAGCCTTCAAAGACAGCAGTAGCCCTGCAGGAATTCCAGGTCAGTGAGGAAGACAGTGAATACAAGACACTAGTGTCAAGAAAGCCACTGCCCAGGCATTGTTTGCTGTTCAAAAGATTATCTCTATTACCATAGTCACCAAAACCATTACTCTTTGGGGATTTTTTCTTTTTTTTTTAGACAGGGTCTCACTAGGTAGTTCAGACTGGCCTTGAATTCACTATGTAGCCTAAACTGGCCTCAAACTCATGAAGATCCTCATGCCGATCCTCATGCCTCAGCCTCCCAAGTGCTGGGATTATAGGCATGTGCCACCACGCCTAGAATGGAGGTGGGTTTTTAAAGCCCTGTTTTACAAGGGGAGATCGGAGGCTCAGAGAAATTGTCGCACTGAATTTAAAGAAGTCTCTCTCTTCTCTGCCTGTGTTTACAGCCAAATGAGTGATAGGCATAGGGGTTGAAGCCAGAATGTTGCATCTACCAGCTACTTAATCTTAAGCCCCCGACCTGTGTTTCCTGACCTTTTCATTGGAGCTAACAATTAGTCCTTCATAAAGATGTTGTGAGGATTAAATGTAATGAATGCCAAGTTCCTGGTACACTGTAAACTCTTAGTGAGTAGCAGCTAGAGTAACAAATATACCATGACTCTTTTTCTTTCCTTAGAAAAAAGGTTGGCTGAAAATGGTCTGCTTTATCAAGAGCTTTTGCAGCTACCGAAGATTTATAACAAATCCCAGAAAGTGCCAGGAATTTATTGATTATCTTCACCTTGAAATGCACAACAAAGAGAGTAAGTCACCTTTTCCTGCTGGTACTCTAGCCATATGGGTTAGCCAAGGTCATTGCTTTGGGTCAGGCATGTGAGCTAGAGTCTAGCAAGATCCCCTGTCCTGGGGACCAAGCCAGTCCAAGCAGGTCGAGACGGTGGCTTCTCCTCAGGGAGCCAGCAAGAGTGCTGAGTGAGTCATCTAAGGCATTGTGAGGTCTCACGCTTTGCAAAACAATTTTATTATAATGTTTAATTTGATCCTTTAAATATCTTTAATTTTTTCTGCTTACAATTAATAAAGGATAATATAGAGATAATATAAATTGAAGGAATATATAGTGCACAAGTGAAAATCCCTCAAGAGATAACATTGTAAACCTACAAGTCTAAGAAAGGAAAATTGTGAGATAATATGACAGGGACCTGATGTCATATTTAGTATGGTAACCCCAGGAAACCACAGGATCTGGGACAAGTGCTTACATGTTTGTAAAGTTTTGTAGTTACTTTCCCATCCTATACGTAACAGGGCACCAGAGAGATCCCCATTTCTAGCAGGGGGAGCACCATACCTACATCAGTCCCTCCTGGATTAGACTCTCAAATGAACAATTTCCAGGAAGATTAGTACACTCTAGATCTGAATTAAACAATTTTTAAATCCCAGCCAGGGACCTAGCCAGGTTATACTTGTTAGATCCAACCCCAAGCAGTTCTCTTTTCAGATATGAATCCCTGTGGATGGATTTCTTTGACTAAATCCCAGCCAGGGACCTTCTAAAATACGTGTTTTATTTTTCTTACATACAATCTCAATCTTGTAGAACTTCCATGCTTTTTTTTTCACTTCCTTGCATCTCTTTTCTTACTCTTTCTACTATCAACTTTTAAATTAAAATTTTTGTGTTTGACTTTATTTTTGTATTGCTTTTCCAATTTATTCCTAAATTACTTCCCTGATAAACTTTTGTTTGTTTGTTTTATTTTTGTGGTATTGGGAATTGAACCCAGGCCCTATACATCGAGCTACATCCCAGCACCTTTTTTTTTAATTTTGCATTTTGAAACAAGGTCTCCCTAAATCACTAAAGTGCCCAGTAGGCTTGAACTTGTGATCCTCCTGCCTCAGTCTGTCAGAGCTGGGATTACAGGCCTGTGCCACACACCCTACTTTCCCTGGTAAACCTTGAATAACAATCACCAGAACCACTGTCTTAATCACTTCCCTGTCGCTAGAACAAAATACCTGATATCAACAACTTAAAGAATACAGGTTTACTTTGAATCACAGACTGCAGAGGTTTTAGTCAGTCTACTGTCAGCTGACCAGCAGGCGCCAAGACAGAGGCATGAGGGAAGGGCCTGGGCAGAGGAAAGATGCTTACCTGATGACATCCAGGATGCAGATAGAGAAAGGCGGGGAGCTAGGAAGGGATACAGACCCTTCCATTCCGCCCCACTGTGACCCACCTCCTCTGACCACACTCTGCCTCCCAACATGCCATTGAGCTATTACTCACCAGTGGAATAATCGCTGATGATTATCACGCCCCACAGTCAAGTCACCTCCCAAAGCCCCAGCTATGAGCACATGAGGCTTTAGCACACATCTAGATATAAATCATAACAACCACACTGTCTATTTAGAAGGTCACATCAGCAATTTTCATAGTCCCTGCAGAAACCTCAGGGTATACCTTGTGTGATTTTGTTTGTATTAGACAAATACCATGCAAATATCCTTCAGTGTCAGCTTACAGGTTACTTCTTGTTGTTGTTAGTGTGCTAAGCAGACCTTTTCCAGCAATCTGCTAAGTCTAAGTAGGAGGCTGCACCCCGTGGTAGGACATGACCCTTCAATAGGCTGAAAGGATAGGTGTACAGTGTCCTTTCTTCATTGTAGTTATGCCAGGTTGAGGTGATGCCCAGGCTTAAGAGTAACTTGATCAAACCAGACTGTCATTATTTCTTTCTTCTCCAGATTTCTCCACATCACCCACTGTATCAGGACGTCAAACTCCACAGTCCACAAATGTCAGGGGTGGAGATCAGGAAAAGGAAGAAATAGCCCTTGTAAAACGTCGTATATATGGCCAGAGGATCATTGTCATCAATTTTGCAGTTAATGATTTATATTTCTTTTCTGAGATGGAGAAGTAAGTTTACCCTCTTTCCTTCCACTCATGGCTTTCCTTCCTTAAGCCAGCCTAGTGAAGCTTGGCTGGACCTGTAAGAGGCACAGTGATTTCAGTGTGATTTCCTGTGAATTTTTCCTGTGAAATTTTACAGTGATTTCCTGCCAAGTGGGACTCTCCTGACAATCTCAGTGACTGTGGTAACTCCCTCAAATTCTACCATGCTTTTCTCTAAGTTTCTAAAGGCTCTTCAGTATTCTGGAGTTTCCAATGTTGAAAGGCTCTTACCTATTCCCATTTTTCTTCATTATTTATGAACATGAAAGACGCCTTCTTATGTAATACCATTGGACCAATAGCTCCTCAGTTAAAGCCAGGAATTATCATAATACAAATTGTGTGTGTGACATTAAACAGATTTTTTTTTAAAGTTTAAACATACTAATAATGTTCATTCATTTAGTTGTGAAACTTTTACGTAAAATCAAAGTCAACCCACCAATAAAAATCCACAGCTTTTGTATAAACTCTAAACTATACCTAACATTCTCTCAACTAACTCTAGTTAAGATTGTTTTAAAGTAAAACAAGAATTGAAAGTTTACTGCAAACAATTTAGTCCTTTTGAACATTTATTGGTTGGTTGATTGATTGATTGTTGTGCTGGAGGTAGAACCAAGGACCTCATGTATGCTGGTTAAACACTCTTCCACTAAGCTATATCCTACCCCAGTCCCTCTGAATTTTTATATGTTTTTCAATACTTTAAATTTTCTTTGCCACACCTAACTCAACAGGAATATTTTTTAAAAATCTATTTGCCTTTGTAGGAACATTTCAAACATTCAAATTTGTTCTCATCAAAATGACAAATATTTTTTCTTTTTATGTTCGTATTTTGTTATTTTTCATGAATCATAAATTAAGAGTAATAACTATAACAGGTAAAAATATTTGGGAAGAAACATGAGCAATTCCTGATAAACATCTGCCTCAAGTAGCTGGAGAAGTGGGAGCAGGTACTAAAGATGGTCTACCAGTCCATGCTCGGCTTTCCAGTGGCACAGATCAGTGGGGTTTTCAGAAATGTAGAGCACCCAGTAAATTGTATTCCCGTTTGGCTACGAGATCTTTCACTGCACCCTCATGAGGGATTTAGTTTAGTTCCAAAAATGCCTATTGGTTGCTTAGTCTCTACTGAGCTCAGGATTTGGCATTTTAGGTCCAACAATATAAGACATGTTCTCTCTAAGGCCCCACACACTAAGGGGAATGGCAGTCGAGACACAAAAGTTAAGTGTCTTGGGATGGTAAGTGTTAGGTAGGGTCTGACACAGCAAGTGCCTGGAAGTAATTTTGAGTCCTTGGGTGTGGTCTTTTTGAACACAGGTCACCTAGGCTGAATTGTGAAGCATGAGGAAGGGTAAGTCAGATACCAAGTTGTAATGGGGAGGCAGTAGGGTGCAAAGAGCTGCCTGTCAGAGTGGTCAATGCTGCTGTTACACACACACACACACACACACACACACACACACAGAGTCTCTGCTCCCTTTCTCACCCTATGTAAGCCAGAGTAGCCTATTAAAATGCATAAAATCAGGGTATATCATTCTCCTACCTCAAATTCTCCAATGGCTTCACATTACTACTGGAATGAAATCCAAATGTTCCACTGCCTGAAGTACTCTGCATGAGTGGGACCCACCTGTATCTCAGAGCTTATCTCATGCTGCACAGAAAAAAGTAAGCTGGCTCCTGCTACAGGATCAGAAGGGGTAAAGCATAAAGAGTGGGATTAAAAAGGGGGGGGTTGTGTTGAAGAAATGCACTTGAAGAAGCACTTACTTTGTTATCTGACATATGGTCTGTGCCCAATCTGTATTTTCTACACCCTGAATTGAACCAAACAAATGAAGTCACAGTTGGGTGTACATTTGGCCCTATGATTTTCAGGCCAGACATAGGCTTGACATAGGCCAAATGCTTTACCTGGTTACTGATTTCATGTTCTCCATGCTGATTTCTTGCTTATTGCATCTTTTTAATAGGTTTAATGATTTGGTGAGTTCAGCTCAAATGCTGCAGGCAAACCGGATGTACAACGAGAATGATGTGATCCTAATGCAGTCCAAAATTAACATTATCTTCAGGCTCTTCTTACATGCTGAAGTTCCTCCAAGGCTGAGGGTAAGGAGGACTCCCACTGCACTTTGGCCTTTTGCCAAGAAACACCCCCCTCCCCCTATAAATACCCTGAAAGCTAATTGCAAGACACTCCCTAAGTCTTCGGCCAACTAACTCTCTTTCCTAGCAAACCCACAAAAAGTTCTAGCCTCCGGAGAGAGAGTGGTCTTGAGGACCCTGGGGGCCAAGAGAGGTTGTCTGCTTTGCCTGGAGCCTCTGCCAGTGACCAGCTCTCACTCTGTGGATAGGTGAACATCACTGAGTCCCAGAAGGATGCCATCCTTGCTTCCATTGCAGAGGGCCACCTCGACCGGAGCATGTTCCATGGAGCTATCATGTCTGTCTTTCCAGTCATTATGTACTTCTGGAAAAGGTAACTAGCTCCCCTTATCTGACAACTTCCAGGTCAAAAGAAAGAAAAAAATATATTTCTGTCTTCCTCCAGGTCTTAGCTTCATAGTTTCCTGCTTCATGGCAAGTATGATGATGGGTGTTCATATCCTATATTCCACACTTCACACGCCATCTCTCACACTGCACACTGATTCAGAGGTTGGAAGACAGAGACTGAGAACCAGAATGCTGGGTTCTTCACCTCTCCTCTTCCTTTGCTTGCCTGGATCAAGGCTGTGAGGTTTCCTTAGGCCTATTTTTCTCACCTAAAGGTGAGGTGGACTACATTTTCTTAGTGAGAAATTCTGTCAAGGTCACAAAACTGCTTATGTCTAGGAACCCCATGGAGGGAGTAAGCCTGAAGTGCTTTAATATTATATCCAAATCCCATCATCACTACTGAGGGTACAAAGTTGCTAGATGCTCCAAAGAAATACAAAACTCTCAGTTCAAGATAAGCAATTAGCCTTCCAAATAGCAATTGCTATCTAGCACCTAATTTTAGTTCTCCTAACCAGGACTAAATAAAAACTCATCGTGAGACTCTGAGGGACCAGAAACTTCTAGAAGACATATGTTTCTCCCGGGTTGGCTGAGCATTCTGCTCCCTCCACATATACTGTGTTTAGAAAGACAGGCTGCTTCCAGGAGGATTTGACTCCTTGATTTTCATATACTTTGAAGGGTTTGAGTCCCTGATTTTCATATACTTCTCCATAGACTTTATACAGAGATTTACACATGTGTATTATGCAAGCTGTGTTCATGTTTGTTAACCCAAAGGAAGTCCTCAACAATGCTGTGAAATCAATGGAGAAAAATAGTATTATCCCTATTTTACAGCTGAGGAAATTGAGATTCAGAGTAGTTAAGGGACTTGCCTCAGATCACTTGGTAAATGGTAAAACCAGGATTAGAAGTCAGGCCTCTTGGGCTCTTACCACCATAATGTATCGGTGGCATATTGAGAAGTCCGTGAGGGAGGCATGATTTAGTGAGATTTAGTGTGATTTTAGTGTGATTTTAGTGTGATTTAGTGAGGAGAAAGTGTTCCTGTGATAAAATAGCCTGCTCCTTGGGGAAGGAGGAGGAAGGGAGCAGGAAAGACCACCAGAGCCAAGGAAGCATGAAGATAAACTTAGTCTTAGCCAGGACTCACCAAAGGGTCCACTGCCGGGGCTGGATGAAGTGGGAATTTCAAGGGAAGAAGTGTTGTGAGATTTCTAGGAAGCAACAGTTCTCAGGCTACCATAAGCATATAGGTGGAAGAAGTCAAGGTCTATTCCAGGGAAAATCCATAGAAGGTGAGGGGCAGCAAGGCTCTTAGGAAGGAGCTGATGGAAGCCAGTCAGACACTTTGCCTGTGTCAGGAGGGTTAGAATGGAGATTTCGTAGTCTGATGCTTAAGCAAGTACCACAGGCCTGAGCACAGCAGATTCTTCACAGACTCATTTACTGTAGTTCCAGAAGGATGTCCCTACCCACAGCTCAAGCCAGCCCCCTCTCCCCTAGAACAGGTTTAGATAAAGAGGAGGCCCCAGAAGTGGGACTTCCAACAGGCAGCCCCCCAAGGCCAGAAGGCCACCTCTTCTCTGCTGGATACCGCATGCCCTTGGTGAGGAATGGCTCTCCAGGCATGCCCTGTCCTCTTTGTTGCAGTCCCCTCTGCTGATAGTCTTCTCCCTGTGACCAGAAGCCATTCTTCCCATAGGTTTTGTTCCTGGAAGGCGTTCCACGCTTATTTAAAATATGTAGGGAAGAAGTCCAAGGATAAAAAAGTTCCTCCTAAACCGATAAACAAGAACCCCCCGGGCAGTTCAGGTAAGCGCTACCAGGACCACAGCACCACTCTCTAGCAACCCAGACTTGTGAAGAGAAAGCCAGGGCCTGAAGGGCCAAGCATGAGACCTCACAGGGCACCAGGGGTGTTTGTGGAAACAGCAGATAGCTCCACAACATGGGCCTTGCGGAAACAGTAGGACTCAGAGAGAAAGGTCTTACCTGGGGCTGGCAGTGCTGGTGAGGGGAAGCCTCACCATGTACCACTCCCAGCAGTGGAGCTGAGGATGCCTGTGGGAGCACCTGTCACATTCTGCATGGCAGGCACCTGGAGGTGGTGACCTGCGTCACCCTTGTTTAGGAGACTGCTTGCTCCAACCAGCTCTTCAACCCTGCCATTTGAAAAGTAATTGTTTTATAGAGTTAAGTGGAAAAAATAATTAAAAACTAGATACATGGGATAGTTTTAATGTGATAGTATCTTTATATGTTGTCTTAGTTATTTTTCTCATTGTTGAGAAAAAATATCAGACACCTAAGTTAAAGCAGGAAAGGTTTATGTAGCTCACAGTTTGTAGAGGTTTCAGTCCATAACTGACTGGCTCCAAGGCAGGGTGGCTTGGCAGAGGGGCAACAGTTCATGGCAGCAGAAGACAGCAAAAGCAACAAAGAAAGGAAGAAAGGGGATGGAGGGAAGGAGAGGGAGAGGGAGGGAGGGAGAGAGAGAAGCCACTTTCTCTCCTGTTATAGTTGATACATTATGTGAACCTGAGAAGTTTAGTAGGTTAACTATGTGACTCAGCAGGGATCCAGGGTCTTTTTTTTTTTTTTTTTTTTTTGGTTTTTCTCCG